CAGAGAGAGAGACAGAATCCAAAGCAGGCTCCAGGCTCTGAGCTGTCAACACAGAGCCCGACATGGGGCTCAAACCCACGAACCACGAGATCATGACCTGAGCCGAAGTCAGACACTTAACCCACTGAGCCACCCAGGTGCCCTGGAGTTCACCAGATTCTTCAGTCATCCCATGGATTAAACAATGTCTCAGAGAAGAGTGTCCTAGATATTTAAGCTTCATGTCCAATGGGGCAGAACCTGTTGGTGAGTACTCAAATTTCTGCCCGTTCTGCCCTAAGGAGCTCAGCTGTCCTATTTTTCTCCCTGTTGGCTACTTTTGCTCAGGTTCTTACCTTCCATACAGCTCACAGATACCATGCCCCAGGTAGTGAATCTTCATACATCTTAGCCAATCATGGTTGGCTAGTTCCATCCTCTAAGCTCTGATGGTTCTTGGCGTGGCTATGTGATTCTCTTTCTAGCTGAAGAGATGTGAAAGTCTGCTGGGAATGGGGGTGGGGGCAGAATTATGAGATTTTCTAACACAAGAGAGAAGGCAGCCCAGTCTCTTTTGCATCTCTGACATCTCAATTCTGTGTGGCTTCTGGGGAATGTTTTCCATATCTTTGGGAAGGAGAAAGGTTTTTCTCTCATCCACAAACCTGTCTGCATCACTCCCATAATCACACACATCTGACAGGTGCTTCTGGAAGGTTTCTCTCAGTGAAACCTGCATTCTCACATTGCAATCCATTATTTGAATAGCAAATATTTATCAGGGGTACTTGTGAGCACTAGGGGTGGGGTTGAGGTGAGGAGGATTGACATACATAAAGAGAAGTCGATGCTCAACGGAATAAAAACTCTGAGAGATTGTTAGGATCCTAGAAGAAAGGGGATGAAAAGAAGATTCTGAACAAAGCAGAGAACTTCAAGTGGGGATAAGCATTAGAGAGCTGGCTGGGGAATAATCCCTAATGGCTGAGATGACTGAAAATGTTAAATATTCACCTTGAGTTGATTCCAGTCTGCACTGTTATAATCTCCTTCATTTATTCAGAAACTGAAGGTTAAATCTATTGTGCACAACGATTTTATGTGTCATGGACCTTTCGTAGGTCTGGAAACTGAAGAAGAGGCTGTTCCAGGCCAGAGGACCCAGCAGGCAGTGGCACTTAGGGACAGGAAGAGGTGGGGGGGGGGGAGGGTGGCAACAGAGCTGACCTCAGAGCAGGTTTGAGACAACTCCCTCTTCTACTAGCAGAGAGGGACCTCTCTGCAGAAGAGGGACCCCACACAACCCTTCCTGCTTCCCTGAGAAACCTGCAATCAGGCCAGAAAAATGTGTTTATGTGCCTCTGGATTTATGCACCTTTTCACTTTGTATTTTGGTGACCCACACCTTAGTCTAGTGTCTCCTACCGGACTTCTTGAAAAATTCTTGAAGACCAGCTCAATGTCACTTTTATATCCTCCAAAATCAAGCATAATACTTGATACATAATAGGTGATACATGGCTATAAATAAAGTCTGCCATAAGTCTGTGGTGCGGCCCAATAAATTAAGTATGGTCAATAGAAGGGCATTTGTCATCCTTCTGGTGTAAGTAACTTAGCTGCAGAACGAAGATAAGAATTAAATCTCCTTGGGGAAAAAATATGGTAATAGATATATTTTTAAAGTTCATACCTATTAACTCAGTAAACCCACTTGTAAGAACCCGTCGTAATTAAATAATTCAAAAGACATTTGCATAAAAATCTTCATTCAAATGTTTCTTTGACTAGCAAGACATTAGAAGTATTCTACGTGTCTAGAAATAGAGAAATTCTTTTTTTTTTTAATTTTTTATTATTTCTTTAAAGTTTATTTAGAGAGAGAGAGAGATAGAGAGCAAGCCAGGGAGGGGCAGAGAGAGAGGGAGACAGAATCCCAAGCAGGCTTCGCACCCTCAGCGCAGAGCACGACACAGGGCTCAAACTCGCAAACCATGAGAGCATGACCTGAGCCGAACTCAAGAGTTAGACACTTAACAGACCGAGCCACCCAGGTGCCCCATTTTTTTTTTTAATTTTTTTTTCAACGTTTATTTATTTTTGGGACAGAGAGAGACAGAGCATGAACGGGGGAGGGGCAGAGAGAGAGGGAGACACAGAATCGGAAACAGGCTCCAGGCTCCGAGCCATCAGCCCAGAGCCCGACACGGGGCTCGAACTCACGGACCGCGAGATCGTGACCTGGCTGAAGTCGGAGGCTCAACCGACTGAGCCACCCAGGCGCCCCGCCCCATTTTTTTTTAAAGTAAGCCCTACACCCAAGATCAAGAGTTACAGGTTCTACTGACTAAGCCAGTCAGACGCCCCTAGAAATAGAGGAATTCTAAATAATTAATGGTACAGTTGCTCAATGGAATACTATATAGCTATTAAATGATAATTATCCACTCTGTGAGGCAAAATGTGAAATGTTAATGATATGATATTAAGTGTTTTTAAATAGTACACATGAGGGGTGTCTAGCTGGCTCAGTTGGTAGAACATGGCAACTCTTGATCTCTGGCTTGTGAGTTTGAGCCCCATGTTGGGCATAGAGATTACTTAATAAAAAAGATTTTAAAAAAGTAAATGGTACACATGATTTCACATCAATCAGACTGGGCTATTCCAGGTGGCAAGAAACAAAGTTGGGTTCTTTTGTTGGCAAAGGATTTATTGTAAGGACACATGGAGACATAGGGCCACCGGGTGCACTGACCTCTGCAGCAAAGTTGAGCAATCTCAAAGACAAAATGTTGTTTGGGGCCTGAAAGTTACTTAGATTGTCACCTCATTCTGCTGTGGGCCCTCAGCACCAGATGGCCCTCCTCTGTGAGCTCTGCCATGTGGTGAACCAGCCCCTCATTGTCTTTGTTTCCATGACTCAGTTTTTCTCTCTATTCAAACCTCTGTTTACTCATGTCTTCTATGCTTCTATCACCTAATGGCTTCGGCTGACTGATTTCTTCTTGTGCTGATTTTTTTTTTTTTTAAGCGAACACTGTGCTACACTCACAGCATTTTTTTAAGTTTATTTTCTTTAGTAATCTCTACATCCAACATAGGACTCGAACATATGACCCTGAGATCAAGAGTCACATGCTGTTTCGACTGAGCCAGTCAGGTACCCCTTGCCCTGCTTTCTGATTGTTTCAATATGTATCTCCCATTTAAACTCCCCCAAGAAAGGGAATCCAATGCTTTACTTCCCTACTGTTCCATTAGAACTCTGAGGCCAGGCTGCCTCCATAGTTCCAGTGGTCAGAGTATATCCAAGCTCAGCTTCCATCACATGCCCAGACCTGATCCATTCAACTCTGGTGCAAAAAGTGGTTACACAGCATTAATGTGGCAGGTACTTCAGGCTTCCCAGCCACCTATCCAATACAACTGTAGTTTTGAACGATGTTTAAAATAATAAATGAAAAAGGTGTACCTGGGTGGTTTAGTCGATTAAACATCCAGCTCTTGATTTCGGTTCAGGTCATGATCCCAGAGTCATGAGATGGAGTCCCAAGTCAGGATCTGTGCTGACAGCCCAGGGCCTGCTTAGGATTCTCTCTCTCTCTCTCTCTCTCTCTCTCTCTCTCTCTCTCTCTTTCTCTCTTTCTCTCTCTCTCTGTCACTCCCCCATGCACGAGCTCTCTCTCTCTCTCTCTCTGTCACTTCCCCATGCACGAGCTCACTCTCTCTCTCCCAAAATAAATCAATAAACTTTAAAAATAATAATAAATAAAAAAGATATGATATGTATGAAAGCAGAGAGGAAAGGGATAAATTAAAGCCATCACATTCTTGTTAGGGTAGAGGGATTACAAGTGATTTTTTTTCCTCCACTTCGCAATTTTCATGTAACAGTACTGTAATTGTCTCTTAGTTTTCACAGGTTTTGTTTTGTTTTGTTTTGTTTTGTTGAGACAGAGAGAGAATGAGTGGAGGAGGGGCAGAGAGAGGAGAGAGAGAGAAAGAGAGAGAGAGAGAGAGAGAGAGAGAATCCTAAGCAGGCTCCATGCTGAGGTGGGAGCTGGAGACCGGGCTGGATCTCACCTCACCACCATGAAATCACGACCTGAGCCAAAATCAAGAATTAGATGCTTAATCCACTCAGCCACCCAGGCGCCCGATCAAGTTTTTTTGTTTTTGTTTTTTGTTTGTTTTTCTTTTAAGTAATCTCTCCCAAGCAATAGGAGTGGTGCAACCACTACTAAGTCCAGTCTCTCTCATGAACCTGACTTGGAATATAGAGCAAAGTTACAACCATTAAAGCCTGTGGTCACCCTTACACAGAAGGCAGAGCAAGGTTGACTTTCCCAGCTAAAGCTGAAGTGAGAATTGTAGGTTGTGAAAGTACCCTGAAGGCAAAAGTGTCTGTTATTACTCTGAAAACTCCCCTTAAACTGCTGTAATACCATATGCCACATGAGCAGAACACAGAATCTTGTAACTACTTTAGTTATGGAAATACGTCCTTTGTGCACAGGCCAAATATTGGAAAACCCCACGCACTTAATTGACTGTCATCTCCAGGGTCAGAGAGAAGCTACCATGGCAGTTTTATGAAACCAGCCACCCCTGGCTTCACTTTGATCTTCCTCTGTTTACATACCCCTGTTTCAGTTCCTTGGCCACAGACATACAATTACTAAGAATTATTATTGCTTGATAAGAACTATAATTACTACAATGACTGCCCGAAATGGAAAGGGCAGGAGAGAAATCGAATTATCATATGGACTGGTGTCTGAGCTGGGCCGTTTGTGTCTCGTAAGCCTGAACCCCGCCTCCGGTCCATTCCCCGAATTAACTCCCGGCGCACCCGCCGAGCGCGGTAACCTTAAGACTGGAGGCTTGAGCACCGAAGGCAAGAGCGGGATCTAGCGATTCGGGAATCGAGATGCAAACTCCTCCTGCGCTCCTAGAGAGGACCCGGAAGCACAGCGCAGTCCCGGAAGGCGAGATGCTGACACACTTCCTGTCTTTGTGACTCATTGTGTCTGTGTCGAGGCGTCGGGAGGGCCTAGGTCCGTGTGCAGCGCCGTTCTGCCGGCCTGAGCCCCAGAGTCAGCTCCCCTTTCTCGCCCAGCGCCCCCAGGCTGCTCCCGGGGCTCACGGTGAGACTTGGGGCCGGCCTCTGGGGAGGGCGGGCGGCGCCGCAGGGTGTGTGCGTGAGGGTGGGCTCTGCAGCTGCGGCCCTGGGGTCCCTCCAGGCGGCCCGGGGGAGTGTGGAGAAAGTCCAAGCCCCTGGCCCGACGGTTGGAAGCGCCGTCCCCCGGGAGACGTCCCGCCCCGCCCCCGGGTCCAGGCGGGGAGGGGGTGAGGGTCTAGTGGCCGGGGGTACCCGGAGCCCTGGGGAGAAGCCGTCTGCGGGCCCCTTCCGGGCCCCTAGTCCGCAGTGTCGTCATCGTCCTTTGACGTTTCTGAGAACCGGGTCGCGAGCGAGCCGACCCTTGTCTGATTTTACTGCCCGTCCTTCGTCGCCATTTGCTTTGATTCCAGTGAGAGACTTTTTTTTCGGGGTCCTTCAGGACCTCGAGGTGAAAAATGAGGAAGGCCGAGTAATGGACACGTTTTGAGGTGCCGCTTACGTGTTTCCAGATCACCTGCTTCTCATCCCACCTCCACCCGCGAGCGGTGATTAAAGGATATTGGAAGCTTAGAGTGGATAAAGACGTGGTTCGGATCTAGTAGAGATTTTGTACATCCCACTTTCTCTTTCTGCCTTATGGAATATTTTGAAGACTTTTAAAAATGATCTGTCCGGAAGATTACGTGGTTCCCCCAACCCCCTCGGTTCTTGCTTGTCTTCGAGTGGGTGAAGACCCCCTAGTTAACTCTTGCTTGTCTTCGAGTGGGTGAAGAGTGAAGGGAATTTGTGGAAATTGCACCAGGCCATCGGGGAGACTGGTTGCCCGAGTGACCTTGTATTAGTGACCTAATACAGGACTCTTCTCCAGCTCTCAGTTTTGTCATCAGTAAAATTAACTCGATTTTCTAAAAGGCCTTCCCACTTTGAAATTACTTGATTTGGCCAGTGCAATCGAAAAAAATTGAGCTACAGTTTAGCCTGAAGCTGTGCCCCTCCCTTCTCTTTCCTGCTGTGCCTCCAGGACACAATAAGATACTTTCATTTTAGAGAGTGGCTGTTACATGGCCTGGGACCAAAGAAAGCATTTATTGTACAGGCCAGTGCTAGGCGGATTGGAGGTGGTCAGTAAATACTTGTTGAATTGAATTGTGGAGAATTCATTGTAACCAGATCAACAAAGTACTGTTAGTATATATGCTGGCCATATGTGGAGAAATAGCTTTATTACAAAGGGAACCATAAGGATAATTTGCCCCAGAACATATCTCCAAGTTTATATTGTCTCTGAATCACTGTGCAAGATACCCATTCATTATTTCAGGCAGTTTTCCCCAGTCTTAAAGTACCAACAAGGAAGCTAGCTACTTAATACACATAGTCTTTTGCTGATTTTCTACTTGATCTAAACATTAATTTTTTTTCTAACTTTATATTGCATCTAAATACAGGTGAGTGCTATGTTAAATTTTACCTCTTCATTCTGGAGTAGTATTGGTATTCTTTGGGTAGCTGGCTGTCTTTTAAAGGGAGCTTTTTCATGTTAAAAAAAAATTAGGGGCACCTGGGTAGCTCAGTCGGTTAAGCATCTGACTTCGGCTCAGGTCATGATCTTGCATTTGTGAGTTCGAGTCCCATGTTGGGCTCTGTGCTGACAGCTCAGAGCCTGGAGCCCGCTTTGGATTCTGTGTCTCTCTTTCTGCCCCTCTCCTGCTCGTGCTCTGTCTCTCAAAAATAAATAAATGTTAAAAAAAAAAATTAAAAAATTTAGGGCACCTGGGTGGCTTGGTTGAACAGCTGACTCTTGATTTTAGCTCAGGTCATGACCCCAGGGTCGCACGATCGAGCCCTGCATCGAGCCCTGCATCGCGCCCCATATCAGGCTCCAGGCTGAGCGTGGGGCCTGCTTAAGATTCCCCCCCCCCCACCGTGCAGGCGCATTTTCTTACCCTGTGTCTCTAAAAAATAAAAAAAAATATATGGAGCGCCTGTGTGGCTCAGTCAGTTAAGCATCTGATTTCGGCTCAGGTCATGATCTTGAGCTTCCTGAGTTCAAGCCCCGCGTTGGGCTCTTTGATGTCAGCACAGAGCCCACTTCAGATCCTCTGTCTCCCTCTCTATCTGTCCCTCCTCTGCGTGTGTGCTCTCTCTCAAAAATAAACGTTAAAAAAAATTAAAATAATAATAAAGGAAAATAATTTTTTAAAAAGCTTAACAAAACTTAAAGCTCTGTTCAAAAAAGGGAAGAGAGGGTGCCATTTGTTTAAACTTTCAAGACTATGCTCTGGAAAAGATACTGACCTGCTTAGAAAATAGCCTTTGGAATAAACCGAGCTTGTAACTCCAAGCCCTTTTTGTAAGAAAATCGTTGGTATTTGTCCTTGGTGACAACCGGTGGCTGGGGGTAATCTTATCTAAATCGGATAGGGTGTCAGAATGTTTTTCAGCTCAGAGGGACCCCAGAGGTAGTTTTCTCCTCCCCTCCCCCATTTGACAGATAAGGACACCGAGTGCCAGAGAGGTTGAATAATTCACTCAGGGATGTGTAACTTATTTGTGGGAGACTAGAGTTTAGGTATTCCAACCTGTGCTGCTTTCACTGTTACAGGAATTTTGTCGCTTAATGTTTTAAGCAGGCTGAAAATTGGAAAGTACAGTCATAGCTCTTAAGTTTGTGGAAAACAAGGTACTCCTCTACCGCTTACTGAATGCCAGACGCTGTTTAAAGAGCTTCATATATGTTAACTCACGTAATCATCACGACAACTCTGTGAGGAAATTTTTTTTTATTCCCATTGCACAAATGCAGACAGATATTAACTTACTGAAAATGATCAGCTGGTAAGTGGTAGGGTAGCTTATTGAAGCTTCTCCAAATAGCCCCTGGGGCTAATTTGAGGGCAGTACTGAGTGCTGTATGAGTGGGCAGAAAAATACCACACTGTAAATTCAGCAAGTATTTCTTTAAAACTAGGTGTTTGCAAGGAATCATACCAAGTGGTCTAAGGTACAAAGAAACATTCCCTTGGGTGCCTGGCTGGCTCAGTTGGTGGAGCCTGCAACTCTTGATCTCTAGGTGGTGGGTTCGAGCTCCACGTTGGGCATAGAGCTTACTTTAAAAAATAACAATTAAAAAAAATGAAGAAACCTACTTTAGCAATTAGTCCAGTTGAGGAGGAAGGCGTGAGCAATTACATTACAGAGAAAGAAATACAACTTCCATGGCAGATGCTTGGCAGAGAGCATTTGGGCCAGAAGTTTAGAGAGAGGAGAAGAGGTTGTTTGCTCAGATCTTTTGAGAAACCCAAAATAAACCCAGCCCTTCCCACTGCTGTTGTGACTTTTCTCTTTGCCTAAGTAGGAGCAGAAATGTTGAGGGATGGGGGAGAGGGCCTCATAACTGGGGGAATGTGCCTATGCCCTCATCTCTGCCCCTTTGGGTCTCACTTCCTCCTCAGAGTCTCTTCCTATTGAGTCCCACTGACCCAATAAATATCCCACCTTCCCCCCCCCACCCCCCAAGCAAGCTCTGTGCCCAACGTGGGCCTTTGAACTCAACAACTCCGACGTCAGGAGTCACATCTCCACCAACTGAGCCAGTCAGGCACCCCAGGAAGTATCCCAGTCTTTAAAACTCTGGCCTAGGTGTGGGCACAAATCAAGATTCCTTTCCTTTAGTCTCCTTCGTATAGCTGAGACAGGATAAAATTTTCATGAAAATATGAAAATTTTTCTGATGCTAGACTAATTTCTACACCAGTCCTGTTCAGTTGCCCCTGGTTAGATTTGAGGTGATTCCTACTTGTGTCTCCTGCTGTGTCTCCTTAGCCACACAGCTCCCTGGTGAAAACAGATGGCAAATGAGGCCCATCCCTGGGTGATGATCCTTCACAGGCACCTTCAGAAGCCTTTCCTCTGGGAAAGAACCTGTGTGCACACAGAAGCTCTTCCTAACCCCACGTGTTGGGACAGAAGGAGTTTGGCATGATGGCTAGAGCTTCAACTGAGGGTTCCTAATACCAAATCCTACCTCTGCCCTTTAATTGCTGTATGACCTTGGGTGTGTTATTTAACGTCAGTAAGCCTTAGTTTTGTCATTGTAAAGTGATATGATCATCATAGCTCCCTGCTAAGATTGTTCTGTGAAATACTTAATATCTGGTCCATGGAAAGCACTCAACGAATATGAGTTCTTATGCCCCTGAATGAATGTTCTTGAACAGTGATGAGGGGCAAGTGGCATTTTAGCTAAGCTCTAAAGGATGAGTAGGATTTGAAAAGGCCAGAAGACTAGCAGAGGAAATCCCAGACATCGACTGTGATGTGAGAATAGGATGGTGATCAGAATCCAAGGCATATTTAGGAGCTACTCCTTTTGTGGATGGAAAAGGTTCATGCCGGAGAGGGAAAGAAATTGATGCCGATGGTGAACTTGAGAGGAAACTGGGACCAGGTACTGGGGACTGGTGACTGGAAAGCTATAGAGGTTTAGGGGTTCCTTCGGTGGCTCAGTGGCCAAGCGTCCGACTTCAGCTCAGGTCATGATCTCACAGTCTGTGGGTTCGAGCCCCATGTTGGGCTCTGTGCTGATAACTCGGAGCCTGGAGCCCGCTTGGGATTCTGTGTCTTCCTTCGTCTCTCTCTCTCTGCCCCTCCCCCGCTTGCCCCTCATTGGCCTCTGCTGGCAGTGGAGAGCCCACTTTGGAACTTCTGTGTCCCTCTCACTGTCTCTCTCTCAAAAACAAACAAACATTTTTTAAAGAGAGAAGAAAGAAAGAAAGCTATAGAGGTTTATGAAGTAGGGGGGAAGGGGAATAAAGGCAGGAAACCAAAGAGCGGAAGCCAGACCTGACAGAACTAGGTAATTACTTCTTCCTGGTGCTTGGAGACTGAATGCGTGTAAGGAGAGGAATCCAGAAAGGTGAGATTCTGAGCTTTAGTGAATGAGGTATCAGTAGAATATCTGATCCCTAATTGCCACTAAAGGGAAACAAGAAGTGGCAGGGGAAACGGCAATATTTTGAGTAGCTCCTCTTTCTCCTCAGTTTAGCAGAAATAAACTGCCAGGTTCTCTAGCAGATAAGTACAAAGAAGTCAAGAGTCTTTGTCTTTCAGGGGCTTAAATTTTAGTTGGGAGGTGATGGGAACTGCAACCGAAATAACGATAATGCAAGGAGAATATATGTGGCATAAATAGGAACAGAGAAGATATTGAGGGTGTCCAGAAGAGGAAGGTATCTTAGTTAATCTGGAACGGCAGACGTTTTACATCTGGAAGAGTACGTAAAAATTTGACCAGCGAGGTTGACGTGGTCGAAACTGTTCACAGCGAAAGTGTGACGATGGGATATCACACCCTGTGCTTGGGGAACAGGAATGGCCAGAGCAGCTGAAACACAGGGCATCACGACGAAGAAGGGGTGGGGGGTGGGGGGGGTGGAGAAGACTGGAAAAGTAAAGTAGGGTGTGTTCTTTGAACACTAAATTGGCAGATAGCAAAAATTCACGGGCGCTAATTGAGGAGAAAGAGATGCCCGGAAGCGTACTTTGGCAATACGGCAGTGACCTCGCTTGGTTCCTACTGGACCTGGGAGAGATGGAAGGTAGAGAGACTGTGGCCCTGTGGCACAGATAGGGAGCCGGCCTTAGGGTGGTGGGAAATAATTGTGGGGGGCACAGCAGGACAAGGTAGTCTTTCTTCCGACTTTTCAGAATGAAATTGAAGAAACTACGGCTTTTAGGAATTATTTAGCCTCCGGTTGGGAAGACGCTAGCCAAAGGAGCGATCTGTTGGACTGCCTGTCCCACTGCCTCTTCCTGTGGGGGCAGCTTTCCTACCGAGGTCTTGGCTGTTCTGATGCCCTGGCTTCAGGGCTGTCTCTTCCCAGACACGGCCTTGTTGACGCACCAGTTACTTCCCTGGCTCCTCTAGCGCTGATGTTGAAACTTCCTTAGAACAGTTGGCACCTTCTGCTTTGTACTGAAATTATTTGTGTAAAAATGGGAATCCTGCTTCACATCTTTGTATCCCCCTCTGTCTAGGAAGGCACTTGGCATATTGTAGCCTTGGAGAGGGAGATGTTTAAGAATTTAGTCGTAAGGACTTTACCAATGCTGCTCTGAAGTTGTAAAATGTATTTACTGCAGCAAGGAGGGTGGGGTGCAAAACCGTTCTGAAGGAGATCAGCGGGAAGGGCTGGGGGGTGGTTTGCACTGGACTTGACCAGCTTAAAATCGCAGAAAAAAAATGACTGAATTCCCACATTTCTGTTTATTTCTATGTCTGTAGAAAGCCTTTTTGAATACAACGTTCTTTGTTGTTCCTAGAGTCCACTACTTTAATAAGGATTTTGATTTTACTAAGTACAAAAAAAGTTAAGATAGAAAAACCAACCCTGTGAGAAATCTCAGATTAAAACAGCCATCGCCAGTGCTCGCTTTGGCAGCACGTGTGGTCAAATTGGAACGATGCAGAGATCAGCATGGCCCCTGCACAGAGACAACGCAAGATGCTGAAGCGTTCGATTAAAAAAAAAAAAAAAATCACCTCCCAGCTTTTTTTTGGACACATTCCTGTCTGTAAAAATTATTTATAAAAAATGGGGCGCCTGGGTGGCGCAGTCGGTTAAGCGTCCGACTTCAGCCAGGTCACGATCTCGCGGTCCGGGAGTTCGAGCCCCGCGTCAGGCTCTGGGCTGATGGCTCAGAGCCTGGAGCCTGTTTCCGATTCTGTGTCTCCCTCTCTCTCTGCCCCTCCCCTGTTCATGCTCTGTCTCTCTCTGTCCCAAAAATAAATAAACGTTGAAAAAAATTTTTTCAAAAAAAAAAAATTGTATACATGTAGTATTATACCAGTATTTTATATAACAAAACAAGGATACGTTTAATTGTGCTATTCAAAAAATACTTTTGTGTTTTAATTGTACATGATCCCTTTTCTACCAAAATTACCAAAAAATTTTTTAATGAGAACCATGTAATTAAAAATGCTTTCTAGCTTAAAGTTCTTGGCTTTGGATGATAGAGCAGTTGAATGCTCTGTCTCTAAAACTTGAGTTTGATGCTGTTGAGACGAAAAAGATACCTCACAAAGATTTGCCAGTTCAGATGGAAGAAACACATTGTCAGCTCTGCTTAGTAACTATTGGTCCACCACGCAAAATTGTTGTTGTTGAAATTCAGCCAGCACCTTTCCGGTTTTCAGACCCTTAAATCATCTGTTCTTAAAAACTAATCAAAAGGTGGCATGCCTAGCTGGTTCAGTCAGCAGAGCATGATCTCGGGGGTTGTGAGTTCAAGCCCCATGTTGTGCATAGAATCTACTTTTAAAAAAATCAAGGGGTGCCTGGGTACCTCATTCGGTTAAGCATCGGACTCGATTTCGGCTTAGGTCATGATCTCACAGTTGATGGGATTGAGCCCATGTCGGGCTTGGTGCCACTGTTAGCGTGGAGGCTCCTTGGAATTCTGTCTCTCCCACACTGCCTCTGTCTTTCTCAAAATAAATAAATTTTTTAAAAGAATCAAAGGTGTTTTAAGTGTTTTTTTTTTTAAGTTTTTTTGTTTTTTGTTTTTTTTTTTTTTTTTGAGAGCAAGCGCATGCAAGTATGCAAGCAGGGAGACAATGGCAGGGGGTGGGGGGGTGGATTATCCCAAGCAGGCTCCACGCTGACGGTGTTGTAGGCATCGACTTGAGGCTCAATCCCATGAACCGTAAGATCATGACCTGAGCTGAAATCAAGAGTCTGATGCTTAACGGACTGAACCACGCAAGCACCCCTGTTTTAGGTTTTTAAAAAACGGACTTTTGGGGGCACTGGGGTGGCTCAGTCCGTTAAGCATCAGACTCTTGATTTCGGCTCAGGTCATGATATCATGATGGGATTGAGCCCCGCACTCACAGCATGGAGCCTGCTTCAGATTCTCTCCCTGTCTCTGCCCCTCTCCCTCTTGTGCACTCACTCGTTTGCTCTCCTCAAAGTAAATAAACATTAAAAAAAGAAAAATCTTCTTTAAAACACAAAAACAGACTTTTAAGATCTTAAAATTCTTCATTTGGAAGATTTTATACAGTGTAGAAAGTATAAGGTTTTTAAATATTAACAGATGATTAGGTTTGTCCAGGATACTTAGTATCATCTCTGGAAGTTACAATTACATAACAATGTCCGCCCCCCCCCATACACCTTTTTTTTTTTTTTTTTAAGCATCTGCCGTGTCACTTATTGGTTGATTTCTTGTTGAATTAGTTTGACATTCGTTCTTACCCACTAATCTGTGTGAGTGAAACCTCGCTGTAGGTAGAAGCTTCATCTGTGCCACTTTCTTAACGTGTGTTTCCACTGTTTGCGTTTCTTCGAATTGTGCTTTTTCTGTTGGGAGTCTTTAAGCTGCTGGTCTTTTTTCTTCTTTTCTTTTTTCCAGATGTAATTTACATATAACATCATATTCCAGGTGTACAACATAATGGTTTGATATTTGGGCAAAACGATAACAATAAATCTAGTTAACATCTGTCACCACAATTACAATTTTTTTTTTCTTGTGATGAGGGTTTTTAAGGGCACTTAGCAACTTTCAAGTATGCAATACAGTGTTATTCACTGTAGTCCCCTTGTTGTACATTATGTTCCTATCACTTCTTTAAGACCTAGAAATCTGTCATTTGAGCCCTGTCACCCAGTTTGCCTGCCCCTGTACTTGTCTCTTTTATGAAGACAAGATTAGTTCAAGCTGGATAAAATAATCCATTATTCCACATAACTGGTCTCAGGTAAACTGGGAGATATCACAGTACCGAAAAGTGAACAAGTGAAATGAGGAAATTTTGGCAGCCCTCTGTGTGGGGGAGGGAGGTTCCTGCTTTTTCCTTGGGACGTACCCTGTGACATGTGCCGGTTCAACATTTAACCAAGGGCGGGTGTTAATGTCAATTTGTAACATGCCGTCTGTAGAGTGGCACTGGTGGTCGTGCCTCCCTGCTAGTGCTGTTGTGTCCGGAAATAAGATGACGTGTGTACTGCTTGAAGCCTGGTACCTAGCGCCCTGCTGACACTCAGCTCTCTCTGGGACGAGCACTTAGAAAGAAGCATGGCGTCGTAACCTGCTGTCCTGGAGGTTAGGTGTTCAGACTCAGGCACACACCCTAAGGGTGTTTTTGGCCTGTTGGATGTTTCTCTCTGCGTGCTTTTTTTTTTTTTAAGGGGCACCTGGGTGGCTCAGTCGGTTAAGTGCCTAACTCTTGATTTCAGACCAGGTCTGATCTCTCGGTTCGTTTGTTCAAGCCCCACCTTGGGTTCTGCATTGACAGTGTGGAGCCTGCTTGGGATTCTCTCTCTCCTCTCTCTCCTCTCTCTCTCTCTCTCTCTGTCTGTCTCTCTCTCAATAAACAAACAAACAAAAAAACTTACAAAGAATTTATTTTTAAGTAATCTCTACACTCAACATGGGGCTCAAACTCACAACCCTGAGATCGAGAGTGTGCGACATGCTCTACCAACTGAGCCAGCCAGGCACCCCCTCTCTGTAAACCTTAACATATAAAATGACGGTGAAAACAGTGTGACTCTGGAGGTTTTGTTTTTTCTTTTGCTTTTCAGAGGCATTTTCAGTGCCTTGATGTGCAGCCTTGTGTGAAGTGCTGACACAGGTCACTTTTCATAAAGGTACTAATAGTTATGTTTACTATGTCAGGAACAATACCGAAACATATCAGAAAACATCCAGAACAGAAAGGAGAGCACAGACCCTGTTTGGATCAAGTCAGCTCCCTGAGCCTGAATGATGACTGCAGAATCCAGGGAAGCCACAGGTCTGTCCCCCCAGGCTGCCCAGGAGAAGGATGGTATCGTAATAGTGAAGGTAGAAGAGGAAGATGAAGAAGACCACATGTGGGGGCAGGATTCCAGCCTGCAGGAGACGCCGCCTCCCGACCCAGAGATTTTCCGCCAACGTTTCAGGCACTTCTGTTACCAGAACACTTTTGGGCCTCGAGAGGCTCTGAGTCGACTGAAGGAACTTTGTCACCAGTGGCTCCGACCAGAGATAAACACTAAGGAGCAGATCCTGGAGCTGCTGGTACTGGAGCAGTTCCTCTCCATCCTGCCCAAGGAGCTCCAAGTCTGGCTGCAGGAATACCGTCCTGATAGTGGGGAGGAGGCCGTGACCCTTCTGGAAGATTTAGAGCTTGATTTGTCAGGACAGCAGGTAAGAAGAAGGTGAAACCTATTCTGTATAAGCAGCACTTGGGCTGTAAGCCTGGAGCAAAGAGAGAGTTGCAGTTTGAAGCTGGCACTGGTAGTTTTTGTGGCGGTTATTCTTCTCCGCTCAGATGCTAAGAGGTGCTCTGGCCTCCTTCGCCTGCATCCACTCATTATACGTACCCTCTTTCTGTTCATTTAAACTCCGGTGTAAAAAATGATTTACCCATAAACCCACCATTTGTCCTCAGGTCCCAGGTCAAGTTCATGGGCCTGAGATGCTTGCCAGGGGGATGGTGCCTCTGGATCCAATGCAGGAGTCCTCAAGCTTTGACCTTCATCATGAGGCCACCCAGTCCCATTTCAAGCATTCATCTCGGAAGCCTCGCCTCTTGCAGTCACGGGGTAAGAAAGAAGCAAGATTTCATGTGGGGGAAAGCAAACTGTCTGGGGTGGGAGTGCCCTCTCTGTGTTGCTGAGGGCCTGTAATAAAAAAATGTTTAAGCATGCTTGTTTTTTTTTTTTAATCATTACACTTTATTGTCATTATTAATAAATAAATATTGGGGGAAATGAAACTTACAGCTCAACCTCAGGAGTTAACGTTACTGAGATGGTAAATAAAATGTGCATCATGAACTGGGGTGGACATTACATTATTCTTGGAATGGTTAGCATTTTGGATGTCCAGATTTTTTTTTACAGGAAAGTGCTAGGAAGTGGTAATATATTTCCGGTCTGGGTTTTAAGACACTCTTGTTAATGTCCTAAGTTGCCTTGAAAAGGATCAGTTTTTAAAATTCATTTTATTTCAGATGTGTCAGAATGTTGTAGAACGTCTTTTTCTAGCTTCCAAAAATTTCAAACAGTGTGGAAAGGATGGGAAAAATATTTTGGTTTTTTGTGAGGAACATGAGGAAAAAAATCATTTCAGGGTCATGTAAATGAAAATCAGTTTAAGTTTTTTTTCCTTTGAGGGAAATATTAATGTCTTTATCCAGTTTAAAAATCAAAGTAGGTATGTAGACATCTCTAAAAACAATAACATACTAAAAGTCTAGTTGTTCGAGAGGAGTTGATAAAGGAATGTTCCTTATCCGGTGTGTTTATTTGTGATGGCATTTAAGGCGTGAATATTAGAGCTGCAGGAAACTTTCTCTGCATGTTGGAGAAATCCATGTAAATCAGTGCATTGTGATGTTTGATTCACCACTGTCCATGCAGTCCCAGCCATGTCCTATCTAGGACTTGCGAGGTCTCTCTACCCTTCACGTGGGGGAAGCCGGAAAATTGAAGAGGGTGTTTTTAGTTTTAAGTGCCAGATTAAGAGCTTTTTGTCCCCAGAGTTAGCAGTTTTAGAGACCCTGACACCTACCCTTGATGCTTACTAAATAGATCTCCAGGGAATTCGGCCATTTGCGTTTATCCTCAGTTCCCTCTTGGCACTACCCCTCTTCCAGAGTCTTTCCTAATTCTCAGAAGGTTAAAATGCTAGATACTTGGGTCTTTTTTGCACCTTTTGCTTTAGCTTCTCTTTTAACCACCTGGTCTGAAATAGTTACAGGGTTTAGTGATTCAGTTTCAAGTTCGTTTCTCTTCTGTCTTTGCAGCTCAGTAACATCATCTGTTTATCCAGTAATACCTCCAAATCTCACATTACTTGGCAAGGGAAGATTTTAATTTTGCGGTTTAGAAATTTGTGTAGTTGTTCTTACACATTGCAGTTAGTGTGATCATCTGATCGATGTCTTGTATTAGATCCGTGTCAACCCATGCTTTTATATACTTGTGAATGTCTTGTCGACATTTGAAGCATGTATGCATTTTATCAGAAAACTGTGGCTAAGTGAGGGAGAAAAGTAGAAGCACAAAAAATGGCCAGAATAGATTCCCTTGTTACTCTGAGTAATGTCTCTGTTCTGAGACATTACTACGGAAGATTGTTAGCACTCATGTTATATTGTTCATAACTCAATGAAATTCTGATGCTCTGGCTCTTTGGACTGCGGAAAATTAAATTGTGAGCCAAACTTGAATCATGGACTGAATTAACCCATATCTGTAGCTGAGAATAGGAAGCTGGCTCTGCCATTCTTAACTGTGTGACATTAGACAAGTCATTTACCCTCTCAGGGCTTGGATCCCCCCTCATTAAACTAAAGGGATTGGACCAGGTGATTTTAAGGACCCTTTTATGACACCTTGTGACTCCCACCTAAAAGTCTTTTCTTTGTTAAATTCTCCGTAGTTAACTATTCTGTGGTTAAGCACTGAACATCGAACATGCTGGTGCAGGAAAGAGAGTGCCCCAGGCCCTTCTTGGAGGGGAGGCCCAGCACAGAGCTGGTTTCACTCACAGCTCCTTTCTCCTCCCTCAGCTCTCCCTGCCACCCACGTTCCTGCCCCTCATCACGAGGGGAGTCCCAGAGACCAGGCGATGGCATCTGCACTATTCACAGCAGATTCCCAGGTGAGCTGTGGGCCCCTCTGCCCTCCTGAGACCCTCGTGTCTGCCTCTCTTCCTGGAGCTCTTTTAGCTCTCTCCACCCAGGACACAATCTTGATGCCCCAACCCACAGAGTAGCCCCACTCCTCCTGATCCCATTCACCAGAGCCTTATGGTCACCTTTTCTTTCCCAGCATCCTGTAGGTTTGCAGTCAATTCTGTCCCTGACTCCAGGTTTGGGTGATGGGGTTGTCCCTGAGCTTTGGGAGAACTGAGTGTGGGGCTCTCATATTATTTCAGGCAATGGTGAAGATCGAGGACATGGCCGTGTCCCTCATCCTGGAGGAATGGGGATGTCAGAACCTGGCTCGGAGGAATCTCAATAGGGACAACAGGCAGGAGAATTATGGGAACGTGTTTTCCCAGGGTAAGACTAATGCAGGATTGTTGTCTGAGATTGTTTTGCATCTTTTTTTGTTAGTTGTGGAATTTCTGATGTGGTCAGCTGAGAGTTGACAAGGATTGAGAGACTACTGAGCTCCCCCCCCCCTTTTTTTTTTTCAGACCAATTAGAGAAGGAGCACAATTACATTTACTTAGCCCCCAAAGCCTGATACTGTGATTCTCTGATTCCAAGTGGATTTTTTACCTTTCAGTAGTTTTTGCTGTTAGAAATCAGAAATACTCTTGTGTTCTGAGTCCTCACCTCTTCAACCAATCTGATCCTAGGATTCTTCTCCGGTCCCCTTGGGTTGCAATGTAGGTGCCTCTGTCGAGGGGGTAGAATCTGTATTTCCTATTAGGTCCATGTGAGACCTGATCATTGGTCTAGTCCTAACCTAGGACCACATTCCTGGAGTTACCAAGCATCCTCCCCTGGGCTTTCTGTCTTTTTCCATCCTGCGAGCACAGCTCCACAACAGCTTTATTTAGTTCATGAACTTGCGCCTGTTACCTCCCTTGTGATTAGGATTCCCAGTTTCCAAACCCAGTGCTGGTCTTCTGTGGAGAGGTCTGTTCCTGAATGAGTAGTAGGAACAAAAAGAAGTTCTAAGAGACATCATCCAGATGAGACAAGGTGACACAATTGACAAACATTCCCATTTGTCCCTGCAAGACCTCAAGCCTTGGAAGACAATACTGGACAGCAGCTCCCAAATAAATAGTATCATGGGGGGTTCACAGTGAGACTTCTGCCGGGGGGGTGGGGAGGGGGGTAGGGAGGAGGGTCACTGAAGGGGACTGAAGAAGGAACCTCAGGTTTTGTCTTGAACCATAGATACAACCGGGTGATAGTTTCCTGGTTAAGCCAAGGAACTGATCTGTGTTTATGACCTGGGTATTACCTATCCCATGATAACTTCAAAAAGCAAACAAACAAAAACTGAGTACAGTCTGGGAACTATCCAGATAACCAAGGACTTTGGCTTGGAATTCAAAAGAAGTGGACTGATGTCCTCAGTATTTATGGCAATTTCATCACTAAAATCAGAGGTTAGATACCGTTCAACTCTCTGTAATTTCTCTCGGAGGTCTGTTTGGGATAGTGCAGACCCACTTGGAAAGGGTTCTTAAAGCCCAAGTAAATAAAGAATAGGGTTGAGATATCTTGGGTCTCTCCCTAGATGATTGTAGAGATAGATAGATAGATAGATAGATAGATAGATAGATAGATAGATAGATAATCTCTACATACACACACACACATATATATGTAGATATAAATAATACTGCATGGTTTTTGAACAGTTTTCAATCTCTATTTAAAAATAACGACATGCAGAATTTAGCAGTCTACAATAAAGGTGTATTCCAGTGTTTTACCAGTGCGCTGGTTGCTACACGAGAGCGTCAGCTTTGTGTTTGTAAAATTTGGGATTTTTACATTCTCTCTGTCATGGGCCATATACAGAATTGTTTTCAGTTTCTTTTCTGTTCTCCGTTATTCTCAGTGGTCTGTCAATGAAGGTTCTAGTTACGTTTATTAATGCCCCAACCAGCTGCTTCCCCCTTGTCTCTGATACCTGAGCACTGTCAGCTCTGTGCTGCTCTCACTGGAGGAGATAATTTCCTGTGTCTCAAAGGCCTATGTAACCTGCCAAGTCCAGAGCTCCTTGTTTTGTCCGTTAACCGTGGACTTGTAAAAAGCTCACAGAATTGGAGGAGTATTCACTTTTCCTTTATTCGCTATGTATATGCCTTTCTTTGTGCGAATACCATTTACTGTTTTCTAGGAGAGACCTGTCCATTCTTTTTTCAAACTCATACTTTATTAGAAATGGAAAGTGATTTTTTTTTTATGTTTGTTTATTTTTGAGAGAGAGACAGAGTGTGAGCTGGGGAGGGACAAGAGAGACAGGGAGACACAGAATCCGAAGCAGGCTCCGTCCAGGCTCTGAGCTATCAGCACAGAGTCTGACACAGGGCTCGAACTCACAAACCGTGAGATCATGACCTGAGCCGAAGTCGGACGCTCAACTGACTGAGTCACCCAGGCACCCCTGGAACGTTATTTTTTTAAACATATATTCCTTCAAATTAATTAGGGGGTGACCAGTCATACAACTGTGAATGATGACCTCCTGCATTCCTCGTTCCTTCCTTCCCTAACTGGTCCTGCTCCCTCCGCTCTTCCCAGGTGCACGCTCCCATGCTGTCAGCACACTGCCCCTGCTGTCCTCCTGCTCTGTCTGCCCTCCTCCCCCAACTCTGCTCCCTGTTATCTCCATTCTCTTCCCCTGTTTTTCTCATATTTCATCCCTGTGGATACTGTGATGCCACTTTACAGGCATGTAGAAGCTTCCTGGAGAACAGTGTCACTTGATTGATTACCCCACAGGTTGAAAAGAAAATGTTGCTATTTGTATTTTCTGTTGTGTCAGGTTGTGAAAACAGGAATGAGAATGAGGAGTCAGCCTCAAAGGCTGAAAACGCAGAAGACTCAGCATCGCGTGGGGAGACAACAGGAAGATTCCAGAAAGATTTTGCAGAGAAACGTGAACAGCAGGGCAGAATAGTAGAAAGGCAGCAAAGAAACCCTGAGGAAAAAACCGGAAGAGAAAAAAGAGATTCGGGGCCAGCTACAGTCAAGGAAAAAAAACCCACCACGGGAGAGAGAGGTCCAAGGGAGAAGGGTAAAGGATTGGGAAGAAGCTTTAGTCTGAGTTCAAACTTTAACGCCCCCGAAGAGGTGCCGACGGGAACGAAGTCCCACAGATGTGATGAATGTGGAAAATGCTTCACAAGGAGTTCAAGCCTTATTCGCCATAAAATAATCCACACTGGAGAAAAGCCCTATGAATGTAGTGAGTGTGGGAAAGCCTTCAGTCTTAACTCAAACCTTGTCCTGCATCAGAGAATCCACACCGGAGAGAAGCCTCATGAATGTAACGAGTGTGGCAAAGCCTTCAGTCACAGTTCAAATCTCATTCTCCATCAGCGGATCCACTCTGGAGAGAAACCTTATGAATGTAATGAGTGTGGGAAGGCCTTCAGCCAGAGCTCAGACCTTACTAAACATCAGCGGATCCACACGGGGGAGAAACCCTATGAATGTAGTGAGTGCGGAAAAGCTTTCAACCGAAACTCATACCTTATCTTGCACCGGAGAATTCACACACGAGAAAAGCCGTACAAATGCACCAAGTGCGGCAAGGCCTTCACCCGGAGCTCGACCCTCACTCTGCACCACAGAATCCACACGAGAGAGCGAGCCCCCGAGTACAGCCCCGCCTCCCTTGATGCCTTTGGAGCGTTCCTGAAAAGCTGTGTGTAAGGCAAGGAGTTGTCCACAAGCCATTTCCCCCTTCTGTTTCCAAAATTACCTTAGAGACGTGTGCCCACGGAGGGGAAAAAAGGCAGCCTCAACAGATTATAAAAGTCACACTTAAGGATCCTTGTAGCTACATCAGCAGTGTTCTGCCTTTGCATAGTCTGTGGGCATGTAATCCCTCCACACAGCCCCTGCAGGGGAAAGCTAGTCACATGGAGAATCCTCACGATACTTCCGTACAAGACGAAAGCACACACCACGGCAAAACGTCAAGCTTTTCAGTAATGAGGATACCTTTTAAGGTGCTCTTGGCCCAAAAAACCACAGTACAAAATTGAAGGATTAAGATTGGCCCCGTGAAAACGATACTGAGGTTTAAAGCTGCTTGCTGCAAACAAACCCCACTTGGCCAGCATCTTGCTATCCCGTATTTCTCAAAAAGAGGAACAGTTGAAACAAAAACTGCATTGGGACATGCTGCTCAAACTAGTTCTAGAGATGATAAGTTATATATGTGATCACTGGTAGCCTGCCAAAGCTATAGAAATCTAGGACTGTGCTGATCAGTATCAAACCAAAGATTTCTGGCTCTTCCTGAACGAGGGTACGTGCACCAGTCTACAGTTCCAAAGGACTGCAACAAATGTAGATGGCTCTATCCTCATCACTGAGATAAATCCTACTGAAATGGCAACAATGATTCAAAACCCTTCTCTCCCTTCTCGAAATCCCTAAAGCACTATGGCACTCCTAAATGCATTTCTCCACAAGCTAGCACTTGATTGTATACTGTCTTTTAATCCACCATTGTTTTGTGTATGAAAGTTTTCGTCCTGCCCCCTGCCACACCCCAGCAAAGAGATGCTTCGATCGTCACGGGATATATTTACATCCCCGTCAGCACTGGACACAGTGCTGAACACCTAAGACGCACTCATTATACCTGACTTCTAACAGGACTTTCTATGCTTATGATAAAGTCCTGCGTGAATCATGAGTACCTGAAGTATGGTAGCCTGGCCCAACTTTTGAAGAGGACCTTCGGAATCCGAGGCATGCTAAAGCTCTGGGGTCTGATGCTGTTTTTATCCTGAATATAAAAGAAAGGTGCTGGCCAGCTGCCTGCATAGACTCTTCCTAAACACAGATCTGTGAGTAAGTACCATGGAATGTCAGAAGTGACTTTATTGTCATCATCTTAAGAAAAATAGGAACATTTACTAAGGCCAGTTTTTAACATCTTTCTGTTCCAAAAGATCTTAGAATTCTCTTCAGTCAGCTGTTGAACGTGATCATTTAGGCACTTTCTGAGTCATTTGTAACTAAATATAGTTCAGAAGTTATAATTTGTGTTGCTTTTCAGAAAAAGGAAACCTGTAGAGTGCATCCTCCCCCCCCCACACACACACACTTTTCCAGAAGCTTTGCAAAAGCATTTGATATCGTTAGCTGGCAATTACCAAACAAGTTTGTTGCTCTGAGGAGTTCACCAACAAGCTGAGACGTGGTTGGGTGTATCATAGTTGAACTGCACAGCATCTCTTCTGTTTCTCACCCCTGAAGACTGAGGGGAGGTTCTGAAACTCATCTTTTCCATCGTCTGTGCAGGAGGAAACAATTGGCTGCCTAGAAACTAATGGCAGACGTTTTTCAGATACACATACGGGAGACGCAGGTAGCATGGGCTACGTAGGCAGTCCTCAGGGACTTGGGTAGAGATGACTCTGCTCCTGAGAGTGTGCAAATGATGGTGGACAGCCCTGCACGAACTTAGAAACAGACTAAGAGCAGACCCGAAGACTCCCCTTCCTGGGGGAACCCCACATAGAGTTTGAGGTTTTCCATCAAGAAACAAAACTATCATTGACCAGTTGTTCAGTGACCCAGCAGCTCAAGCCTGGGAGACAGCATGGCTGTATGGGGAACCAATAAGGTGGGGACAACTGTGGCCTCAGTTTCAGACCAAACTAGAAATTCTGCACAGCAGTAATTCTTTGGCCTCTCTTTAGAGCTGGGACCGACCACAGCTCCCCTGTAGCTTCTAAACAGTCCTGTCAGTGCTGGCTGAGGAAACTTCAAGGAAGTCTGCAGGTGACCAGACTATTTCTGTCCGTCCAGTTTCAGACCAACAGAAGAGATAGTCCAGAAGAATATGCCTACATAGCTTTTTATAGTCCGTGAAGGTGGAAGAAGTGCTTTTAAGTTTTTTTTCAGAGAGGACGCCACAGTGGAGGCTTCACGGCTGGTGCTCATCAGCAAAGACTTGCCACTGGGGAACACCAGGAGCAGCAGGCCGCTCGCTTAACCCCAGGCACTGATCAAAGCACTGACTGTTCTGGAGAGGGAACGAACTTGGGTTGGTTCCACATTGGTCCTTTTTTGTTGTTGTTGTTGTTTTTAGCCATAACTCCATGCTGACATTAATTCAGCCATCGTTTTGGGGTTTTTTTGTCTTGTCTTTGTTTTTGTTTTTTTGTTTTGAAAAGGAAAGTTCAGTCCAGCCTGTGCCCTCCTATTTCTCTTCCTTGCCGACCATGGGGGAGCCACAGCGGTTGCCTCAGATCTTCAGCAGATGCACTTCTGAAAGCAGCCATTTGAAAATGCGTTTTCTGGGGGCCGGGGAGGACAGGCTATGGCTGTTCACGAAAACCTTTCACATTGGTCCATTTATCAGCCGCTCAGTGTAGAGTGTAATTGGGTCACGGTCAGAAAGGCTCACCGCATCTCATTAGTGTGTCAGGACACTCAGAAGTTCTTGACTGGCCGAAGTCTATTAACAAACAGTTTAAGTACTCCATAGTTAACCATTAGCATGCTAGTTGACCTGATGGAAGTTTTTGAAGGGTTTTTAAAGGGTATACCTTAAATACACCTGCCAGGAAGATAAGTAAAATTCTTCAGATTGTGGGGGGGATTTGTCTGTATTCCAGCCTGGCAGGCAAGGCTCCAGCCTGAAAAGACAGATCTCTGAGGCATCTTGATATGTAAGACACTTCGTGTTTGATCAAAGGCATAAAAGTGAAACTGTGCTAAATGTGTACAGACAGCTCGCTGCATTTGATACGTGAGACCATTGACATCTTACATACATCAGAAAACTCATTCCAGGAAAGAACCTCGAGAATGCGATAAATATGGCAAAGCCTTTCATCACATCTCAGCCCTTGGCATCCAAAAGCTTACACTGTAAATAAACTTTATTAATATTGTATGTGAGGAAAACTTTCACGTATACCACTCGTTGCTTTGGACAGAAAATGAATTCCGTCAGTATGTTCCAATCATGTAATGAATTTCAGAAACACTGCAGAGGAAGCTTGATCCACTCCAGAGGATCCACAGAAGAAAAAAAATGTGGGGAAATGCTAAAAAGAAGGCAAAAATTGTTAAAAAATTGTTCATGTTGGGTACTTCTATATATTTTGTATGACCCACAATGTCAATGTCTGTGTTTTGTACCTTCAACCCTGGTTGTGATTCTGTGTATTCCCTGTAAACAGATAATGTATTTTATTTTAATCTATTTGACAGAACACATCACTCCAAAAGAGCAAAACTTCTGGAGTGAGTAGTGAAGGAGTTGATGTGGGTATAGACAAAAAGTCGGTTTACAGAACAGAGGAGGGGGAAGAGGAGAGAAAACCTTTAGAGTTTGGTGCTCACCAAATCAGAAGAGATTAGTAGATTCCTTAGGAGAGACAGGTCAATAGGCCTCTAAAATGGAACAGTTCCTATAAACATCTGCAGCTTCCTGCGCATTTTCTCTTCAAAGCCAGGAAGTGGACCTCTTAGCTGCCAGCTCACCATTTCAGGCAGAGAAAATGGGTTCTCTGAGCTTGCGAGGTGGGGGAAGAGGAGCTTCTCCAGGAATCAGGAGTAGGGAGTGCACTGGAAAGGCCCATTGGGACCCATTAACCTGACCAGGTCATATAAACTATGGCCCTGCTTCCCCCACTAACTCTGTTCTTTATGCTTAGGCAATTTGGGTTAGCAGAACGCCAGGATGGGCCCTTTCCTGGAAAACCGGCATCCAGTTCCTGGCATGGCAGGAAGTTTTTCTGATAAGGCTTGAGAAGCGTTTTGCAGTATTTGCTTTGGCTGTGCTCCTGTGTAGCTTCCCTGCTCCCACTTACTTCCCGTGATTATTAGAAGGCTTGTGAAGATTCATAGCTGTGAAGGAATTTTTTTCTTCCTTTTTATCCTAGAGTTGATCACCTTTTATTCCAGGGTCTGGTCACCCTGATGTCCTCATCTGAAGCTAGCTAACCAGGTTCATCCTACCATCCTCATGGAAGATTTGTTATGTGAATTGGAGTAACAGTATTAAAATGTAGTCAAACGGTGACAGCAATACTTGCCAGAGGAGCCATATTTTTGTGTGTCCAACTCTGAGCAACTTCTCAGAAATATTTATGAGGGGGCTGGGTTCCCCATTTGGGAAACCAAATGAAGGTCTGCAGGTTGTGAAATGAAATGTAGAGTCAGAAGAAGAAACTAAGTGGTATAAATAGATCTTTTCATAGAAGTTAGAGTAGATTTTTATTTCAACTACTACTGGAGAGTTTAATAAAAAGCATTATTTGCAGAGTTTTCCTAACCTAGGTTTAGATTTTGTTTTTAGAATGGACACACTACTGTACATTTAAAAGCAGTTACTTATTTTGCTATTCAAATTAATTTTTTATTATATCTGAAGATGAAATTATCTGTTTTACTTTTCAAAGCTTTGTAAAACAAACTTGAAGTTATAGGGAGGCTAAGCCATCTCCAGTTCTGCAGGTCAAATAAAAGTTGGAGAAATAACTTTGGACATATCATACAACAGAATGGGTCAATGTGAGAACTTAGTTTCATATTGTTCTGTTTGACAGTGGATGGCACAAACCTCATGTTTTCCTCTTATCCTGAAACAATGGAAGGTAAGGAGAGGCATGAGGTTTGGCTTCTAAACACTGTTATTTTAACAGCTTTTTTTTTTTTTTTTAATGTTTTGAGATTTC